TTTTCCCAGCCAAGCAGACCACGTTCACTGCTGTATTTCTCAACAGCTCATTGGTCCAACAGCTGAAATATATTGTTTTAAATAAGCAGCCTGAGTTATAGGGAAGACCTTCCTGTGGACACGCCTGCCTGCTATTCTACAAGTGTACACACAGTGTTGCAGGATGCATGGAAGACCAACTGTGATGTTGTGCAGCAGCAGAAAATGATGGCATCTTATCATTGTCATGCGCTATAGTCATCAGAGTCACTACTCAGCTCCTTCCACAACGCAGTTTATGGACTCTACTTGTCACCCCTGCATGACAGGAAGGACTTTTTCCTTTCCCCTAGCCAGGGGAACTAAATTGGAGTTAAACAGTTTGAACTCAAGCCTCAGTGCTGTGATAATAACTCTGCTCAGTTGTTCGTAGACAAAGGATCCTTTAGTGGAGGCTTTCTTATTAATATCTAAGGTAAATTTGTTGTAAATCACAATAAAAAATTTGTGTTAGCTTTTCCTTCTCTTTTACATTTTGGGTTTGTTTTTTTGTTAAATTGTAATAATGAGTAAAAACATCCACACATCACTGGCCTGGTCCGGCAGTGCCATCAGAAGGCACTATGAGCTCTGCCCAATGATGGCACTTTGTTCTTGGCTGGTCACTTCTCCCCCCACCCCACCAGCCACGTTTTCCCTGGTGCCCCAAACCTGAGCCCTGCCTTGGTTTGCTCTACTGCTCCAGGAGCAGCCCCACAGCCAGGCAGGCAGAGGCACAGCCTGCTCCCCAGCAACCCCAACCCCACAGCAGCAAAACAGCCATTGCTACTGCTCTGGCAGGGATTTTGGCTGTGTGCTTGTCATATTTAGTTGCTTGGGAAAGGGTATCTAACTATGGGACACAGTGGGGTCAGTGATTTCTAAGCCAAAGGTACCTGTGCTCAGCAATTCCCATGAATCCTCCAAGTCAGATATTTTAGGCCAGTTTCTTTGTGTTTGTGTGGCAAGGGCATGGTAATAGCTAAAAGGGTGACTTCTCTCAGAAGGTGCCTGAAGCTTCCCCTGTGTCCAACAGAACCAATGCCAGCTGGCTTCCAGACAGATCCACTGCTGGCCAAGGCTGAGCCCATCAGTGACAGTAGCAGCACCTCTGGGACAACAGAGTTATGAAGGGAGGGAAAACCTGCACAACTGCAGGCAGACAGAGAAGTGAAGATATGGGAGAGAAACAACTCTGCAGATACCAAGATCACAGAAGGAAAAGGAAGAGGTGCTCTGGGTGCCAGAGCAGAGACTCCCCTGCAGCCTGTGGTGTAGCTGTGGTGAGGCAGCTATGTCCCTGCAGCCCATGGAGGTCCATGAGGAGCAGAGATCCACCTGCAATCAGTGGAGGGCTCCACCCTGATGCAGGGTGATGCCCTAAGGAGGGTTTGAAGACCACACTGAAACAGGCTCCTGGCAGGACTTTTGATGCGTCAGAGGACCCACGCTGGATGAAGAAGTGCATCCCATGGAAAAATTCACACTGGAGATGTTTTTGGAGAGCTGTCTTCTGTGGGAGGGACCCCATGCTGGAGCAGGGGAGAAGTGTGAGGGGTCCTACCCCTGAGCAGGAAGAAGGAGCAGCAGCAGCAACATGTGATGAACTGACTGTAACCTCCATTCCCATCCCCCTGTGATGGTGGGTAGGAGGAGGTAGAGACTTCAGAAGGGAAGTTAAACCTAGAAAGGAGGGGTAGGTGGAAGGTG